AAAAAAAAAAAGCAATGAGGTTTTTAAGTAGGGAATGACACAATTAGAGTTGAATTTTGAAAAGAAACGTCTGGCCCTAACTTCTGTTTACATCCAGAATCTTGAAAATCTCCCAGAAAAATCACTTCTTCAGTCTTCTTTCTCCTTTTTATTTAGTATAAGAACTTCTCCAAAATAAAACCCTGAAAAAAAAAATCCCAGTACCATCATATTCTAAAGGACAACCATTCACAGCCATCGAAGCATTTCTCTTCCTTTTACAGTTACCCTTGCCCTTTCCACTTCCCCTAAAAAGAAAGCCATCTCTGATCCAACCCTATTTATATTATCCAACCAGAAAACTTGAACCTGTGCTTAAGGCAATTACTTAAGATTAATTTAATTAAAATAAATGCCCACTTTATATTAATAAATACCCACTTTATACTTGTTTAACGTAAAGAGACTATTCTGAGGCTTTTTCCCAATCAAAATTGAACAAAAGTGAATTCAAGTTTCCATTTACGAATATAATACACTGCTCACAACCTAATATAAAAATCAAAGTTTATTTTTGAAATGTCAATACATGAACACATTAGAAGAGTTCAAAAACATCAAATTCAACCGTTTCCCAGAAAGAACCAATTTTACCTGTTTGTGTGTGTGTGTGTGTGTGTGTGTGTGTGTGTGTCTGTGTGTATTCTTGCAAAGATAGTCTATGATTTCACAAAGGCTTACATGTGCATATTCCTTTGTTCATTTTATCCAAACAGTAGCATCTTGCTTTTTTTCCCCCTACTTAATACCTAGGTGGTCATTCCACATATAAGCTGCCACCTTCTTTTTATAAGTCTATTGTTGATATTTAAGTTTGGACTCATTCTAAAGTTCTATATTTTTACTCTTCCCCATCCCTCGCATTTTATATTTTTGATGTCACAATTTACATCTTTCTACCTTGTGTATCCCATAATAAATTATTGTAGTTATAATCAGTTTACTGCTTTTGTCTTTTAACCTTCATGCTAACTTTATAAGTGATTAACCCACCACCTTTACAACATTAGATTATTCTTATACTACATATTTACCTTTACCTGTTGTTGCCACACAGCTGTCTAGCCGTCTGTGTCCCCCCTGCCCCCCGCACTTAACACTAAACTGACCCTTTTGAGAACACTGCTCATACACTTTGCGTCTCCCTGTTTGGCTCTAAAGGGTGGCAGGTTAGTCAATGACGGGTAAGATTCCTCGTGGGAGGAACAACCTAAGACAGGCACGGTCAGTTGGAGGCCATTAGGAGAAACCTCGGGGCTGATGGAGGTGGGCATGAGCCCTCACCCACCCCCCCAAAAAACTGGAGGTTTTCTACCTCTATAGCTATATTCCTTCCCTCAACCTGCTTGGGAAGTGACCTGATGATGTGATAGTATCTGTCCTCAGCACAATAATCTTATCTTCCTGGGGTCCTTTGAGTATAGGGTGTGTGAAGGCAGAGCATCTGTCTTATCGCTGCTGCTGCTGCTGCTGCTGCTGCTGCTGGCGGAGGTACTCTCGGTTATAGCAGCTTGCAGGCGCGGGTAATTTGACTTGAGCAAGTTCTCAGGAATGAGATTCACAAACTGTGGAGAGAGCAATGCTACTTCCGGGTAGGTGGAGAAATAAAAGCGGTGTGTTGGCTCAATTTGGGGCTCTTAGTCCACGAGGCTGGAGACCCTAGGCCCACGCTCATTTAACTCTTGACTGCTGTTTCTTTTATTTCTTAACCCTTCGCCACCCCATCTCGTTCTCCCACTGCTCATGTCATGCGGAACGCGACAAC